CTTCTGTCCCCCAAACCCACAGAATGCTGTGTTTCAGGAACAGCTGTACTGGAGACGCCAAGACTTTTAAGCCAGAGGGATCTCAGTCATTGACAGGAAGTTTTGAGGGAAAGCCTCTGGAGCCCGTTCCTCAAACGGGAGGTCAGAGAATCACTGCAGTGACCCCCCTCTTCAGAGAGACCACAGGGGAGGCGGGGCACACACAGAACGTTCTGCGTGCAAGCGCAACACCCATGTGCCTCCTCATGGCAAGGTGGCCGCAGCCCCGGGAAGGAGCTTCACTGAATAGCTAAACTGCCCAAAGGACTCGCAGCTGGCTCCAGGTGCTTATCTTGGGAAGTCGGTAAGGTCTAGATAACCCCAAACTCTGTTCTGTCCTGCTATGCACTGTGCGTGAGGCTCCTGCTGACGAGGTCTGGCCGTCCTGCTGACTTGGAGCCCCACCAAGGACAGGGACGCGCGGCAGAGTGGATGGGGCTGCTCCTGCGGCGCAGTCACGGTGGGCGGCGTGGGCTGCATCCTGGACGTGGTGGTGCAGGCGGTAAAGCTGTGTGGGAAGAGCCTGTCCGCTGTGGTCCGTCTTCTCTAGTCCCTCTTGGCTTACAGCACGGAGTGGACTCGGCCGCTTCTTCAGAGGCCATGCTCCTGCCGTGTGCCGTGTGCCGTGTGCCGTGTGCCGATCTGCGTGGACCTGTGCTGCACGCAGTGCTTGTGCTGCCACTCTGCTGTGTGGGCAGGAGGGAGGAAATCCTGGTAGGAAGGAAGGGCGCAGTGCCAGCTGCTCGTCCAGATTAGCAGGGTGCTCTGAGACCTCCTAACGCACAGGGAGAGATTTGTGAACTGCCCGTCACAAGCCAGGGAAAGCGGAAATGGGACAACTGTCCCTCTGCTTAGGACTGAGCGCTTTCAACATTAAATACTTAAAAACACAAAGTCCAGTTTTCCTTCTGAGTTGGAAAGTCGTATTCCATTGAGCTTATTTAGAGTATTTCCTTCCGTTACCATGGTTGAGGTACAGCTTTCACACGGGGAGCCGCGCAGACCTCGAGCGCACACGCGGACAGGGTTCGGCACGCGTGCACGTGCAGCCAGAGCCCCAGCCTCACGTGGAGTGTCCCCTTCGTGTGGGAGCCTCCTCCTGCCCCCATCCCGCCAGCCCCGGACAGTCGCCGCTGCGATGTCCCCCAGCTGGGCTGCATCTGCGCCCTGTCCCCACTTCACATGCACAGAATCATGTGAGTCCTCAGCGACGGCTTCCTCCACTCAACCTGACCTTTCCCGGGTCCATCCTGTGCACACATGTCAGCAGCTCTTTCCTCCTCTTGTGCGCGTGGACACACCAGTGCGTCCATTCTCCTGCTGACGGGCATTCGGGCTTTCAGACGTGGTTTAGCCATCATGAGTAGGGCTGCTATGCACATTCTCGTTATAATCTTTTGTGGACATAGGTTTTCATTTCTCTAGGGCCAACACCTCTGAGTACAGTTTGTATGGAATACGGAACATGCGTATTTAACTCTGTCCGTAATTGCCCAATTCTTTTCCCAAGAGCCGTGCAGTCCCACATCCCCACGGGTAGGTGTACACGTTCCTGCTGCTGCCCGTCCTCTCCAAACCTGGTCCTCAGCCTTCTAATTTAGTCCTTCCTGTGGGCATGAGATGTGTTTCATGGGTGTTAACTGGCCTTTCGGTGAGTACTAGGGGTATTGAGCATTTTCTCACGCGCTTACTGGCCATTCATAGATTTTCTTTTGTAAAGTTCCTGTTCAACTGTTTTGCCTTGGAGTGTTTTTGTTTCTATTCCTGACTATGGTTGTAGGAGAGTTTGTGTACATAAATATAGTGGACAAAAGAGTTTCGTCAGAGTGTTTCGTTCTGTCATCGTATTACTTAAGAAGACTTTTCCATCGAAATGCCTCAAGGCCCTGGCTGAACAGTCTCCTTAGGGACACTATGGTGGCACTTCACGTAGCGTGGAGGAGCCCGGCTGGGGTGCTGCAGCCACCCGCCCTCCTGTCCTTTAGTTTACGTCCACGCACGTTCTAGTGCAAACCATGCACCAGAGTGTGACACCTGCTCCTCTCTAACCATCAGTTGTCTTTTAGAGAAATTGAGAGGAGAAAAGAAAATGGTCTTTCCTTATATATTCACATATTACTCCTCCAGGAACTCTGCTGTGCTTCCGTAGACCCGAGTCTCCTCCCGGTTCCCTGTCTCCTCGCTTGTGGGTCCCGTAGCGTTTCCCACGGGGCAGGTCTACCGGCAACGCGGCAGCTCAGCCTTTTAAATACACATAACATGAAAGTGTCTCTCACCCTCATGCTCGGGTGTTTTCACTGGACGGAGACTTCCAGACTGAATGCTTTTTCTTCTAACTCTTCAAATACGTCCTTTGTATGTACCGTATCAAATGTAGAGCTACACAGTACACCGGATCTGTCGTTCGTCGGGGACGTTCGCCGTGTCTCGTCACCATTGGTGTCTTCTCCCATCGCGTCAACGTGTCTTGTCACAGCTGGCTGCCTCTGAGGTCCCGTCTCCACTGCTGGCGGCGGGCGCTGTGCTGTGAGATGTGCTGCCATCTGCGCGTCTTCCTTCTGGGCTTGACTGCGTGGCTCCAGCCTCCGAGTTAACACTGTCCACCGAGCGTGGGAAGTGTGTGGACTTTGTCCAGGGTCTGCGGTTGGTCCTGTGCTCTCTCCGATCCCTCTTGGCATGATGCTGTCCTGTAGGTCATTGGGGCTCAGAATGACTTCTTCCACTATCCACCCTGGGGATACGTCCATCCAGGGAGTCTCGACTTCGAATGCTGCACCCTTTGTTTACAGAGCTCCCCTTCCATTGTTCTCCAATTCCTGCTGCTCTGCTGAGTTGGGGGTGTCCACATTATGTCCACACTTGTAGTGGCTCCTTTACTGTCCTTACCTCCTCATTCTGACGCTGGCTGTTTTCATGACTGCCAGTCGCGCTTTCCTGCCCCTTCGCACGTCCCTTCCTACCGCATGCTGGACGTGGCAGATGTGGCGCTCCAGATTTCATCAGTGGCAGTTAAATTCCTGGATGATCCTTTGATCCTGCCAGGCTGTTTTATATTTTATTAGAGTTGGTCTACTTTGGTGTTGCTTCCTCTGAAAACATGGCCTTTTGGGTTTTCAACTACCTGCTGGAGGGGCTCGGCAGTGTCCTGCAGGGCAGCGGGGCGGGAGTCCTGCATCCCTGTGTGGTACGTCCTGCCCAGCTCAGCCCCAGCCCAGCAGCTCCCCTCTCTGCTCAGCCCCAAGCAGCCCCTGCACACATACCCCTCTGCACAGCCTCCCGGAGAGGCCCTGTCTCTCAGTTCCAGTCATGTCCCAGCCCTCCTCCGACCCTAGCCCCTCAGCCTGGGGGCACCATCTTGCTGCACCTCACACCAGGGTCCAGAAACCGCCCTAGACCTACACTGGGTGGGCACAGGCACGCCTGCCTGTCCTGGCTCTGTGGTGTGCAGCTTCACAGTTGCATGTTGTGGGTGGGTATGTTGGGCTCTAGGGACTTTGTTATGGCTGGAAGCAAATCAGTGAGATTATGCTCGTAGATCTGTAGAAGGGACTCGAACCACTGCAGACAAGAGATGGACTGAGGTCGCATATCAGCAGCGGGTGAGCAGGGTCCTCTTCCCCACCCTCCCTGTGGGACAATTGTGTTTCCCATTGTCCCAAGACCCCCTCTGGGCCCAGCCCCCAAGACCTGCCTCACCTGTCATCTGCCCTGAGCTTGCAAGACCCCCAGTCCCTGAGGAGAAATGCCCGAGAGGAGGCACCTGAGAGGTGGCCCCATAAGACAGTATTTCTGTTCTGTTTTCTTTGATTGTGAAGGTAATACATCTGCGTAATGATTAAATGAGCAAAGAATGCACATGCCCTGCAGGAGAGACTGACTGCAGCAGAGGCTGCATCACCAGTGGTCTCCAACTTCACCCATGCTGTCGGGAAAAGGGGTGCTGGTGGAAAACGAGGGTGGGGTCTCAGGACAGAAGGGGGAGGGTGCTGGCTTCCCACCATTCTCAAACACAACTTATAATTTAGGGGTCTTTTGGAAAACGGCATCGTCTTACTCGTCTTTGGTATTCCTGTCTCCTGCCTGCTCTGGTAGCTGACAGCTGGAGGTGTCCTTGCTGGGCCGAGATGAGGCTTGCTGTGAGGACTGGGGATGGGCAGAAGCTGTGGAGACACTGTCTGCCCTGGGCCAGTGCCCCTCCACCTTGCGTGTCTGAGCCCCTTGTCCTCGGACAACTGAAGTCTCTGTTTCTCTGTGTTAGCTGCACTTGTGGCAGATCCAGTGAGCTGGCTTTGCAGCAGAGCCACATGCGACATCAATTCTATGGAGATGCCCAAGTGTCACACTCACTTGTGGGTGACCTCTCACAAGTGATGTATGTGTACCAGGGCCAGAGTGTGGCACATGGGACATGTTGGCCGTGGTGGCCAGAGAGCTCCACGAGGCTCTTCTCTACAGCTGCAGGCCAAAAAGTCATGGAAAAGATGATGGCCACCAGTTTCTGTAGAGTTGTGGTGCAGCAGGCAGCATGCGTGGGGCACAGACTGTCCCTGTGCAGATGTTCTCTCTTTTTCCCGAGTGAGAGGGAAAGAGCTTGTCGTGCTCCTATAACCTGAAGGCTGTCACGGAGCTACTCAGCTCTCCTCCTTCCCTGGCTAAGTCACTGCCCTGACCCTTCAGAGCCTCGCTCTCCACCCCCAGTCAGGTTAGTGAGTGCCCTCGTCTCCGTGGGCTTCCCTCTCCAGCATACGTTTAAAAACACTGAACTCTTTATGGCCACAGGGTCTCATGTGATTTGAGATTCAAATTCAGGCAGTGGATACTTACTGAACGCCTGTCCGAGGCAGCACTGTGGGGCATTGCTCTAGGGGCCTGGGTCCCCGTTCCGGCCAGCCCTCACTCCCGGATGCATCAGCCCTCATGTTGCTGTGTGTGTGTGCGTGTGTGTGTGTCCTGCAGAGACGCTCTTTCAGAGTCTCCTGAGGGACCTGTGGAAGCACCAGGCTGGCGTGGACAGGCTGAGCCCCCTGGACCTTGATGAGATGGCCAACGCAATTGCTGATGTGGTGCAAGGCGTGGACCCTGAGGGTGGCCAGGACAGCCCTGGGAGAGAAGCTGGAGGGGACCCTGGAGAGCAGACAGACAGCCTGCAAGCAGCCCACCCTGGAGACGGTGTGCCAGGTGATCTCCAGCTCTCGGGGCACTGACATTTGGGGTTGGTGCTGGGGGAGGGCTGTGGCGGAGAGCTGGGAAGGGACCCCGCAGAGAGCCTAATGCGTCCTTCGTGCTGGAGAGACGGGGATTAGAATGAACGGTTTTATCTTCGCCTCTAAAAGCTTTCTTAACAGACCAAGCCTAGCAGAGCAATTACCTCGAAGGCAGATTTCTCTTTGCCAGGAGGTTTAATTCCTCCTCACTGAGGTCCAGAGTCAGAAACATAGGAGGGATGAAAAGTGTTTTTGAATGTCGTCAAATATTTGAATAGGAAGTGAAAGGGGCGCATTCACAGGTCTACCAGAGGCGGCTGCCAGGGGAGGCCGGAATACCCCCGCCCACCTGGCACCCCCTGCCCACTCCTGCCCGCATCGTGAACCCCGCCCACACCCCAGTGTGCCCTGCACACCCCAGCACGCCCCACCCACCCTGCACCCCTAGCCCTGCCCTTCCCACCCACGCAGGCCCCTCGGCCGTCCACTCTCCCGCCCTCCTCCGTGGCTCTGCCTCTCCGAGTCCTCCGAGTCCTCGGTGTCGCTGCAGTGTCTGGCTCAGCGTTCACACGTGGTGGCCTTGAACCCGTCCCTCCCAACTCTGCCGCTGGCGGGGCTGCTGGCCTGAAGCGCCGTTGGGCGGCTTGTGGGGACGCGGGGCCACCCCGGTCAGGAGGACCAGTCCCCGCCCGGGGCTGCTGTCCCCACGAGCGGTGAGCCCGCACCTCTGGGCTAGAGATGGGGCGACCACGCGAGGCGGCCTGATCGCGCCGTGGCCCGAGTTCCACCTGCACCGCCCTCAGCAGGCCCGGGTGCTGCGGGGCTCCTCATGAGCAAGGCCCAAGTGCTGGCGACCAGGAGCCGGTCATGTACCTGCGGCCACCTCTGTCTGTGTCAGCTGTGCCACGTCTTCTGGGAGGCACAGGGACCCTGTTGTGCACCACACACAGGAGGCTCGTGCAGGTGGACGCTGGGCTGACCTGTCACCGCCCAGTGCAGACGAGGAGCCTGGGTGCCTGTCTGTCCCCGTGCTGGGACAGCCTGTGAGGACGCTCCTGACGAGGGTCCTGGTAACGCTGGTGTCTTTTACAGATGACGGAGAGCGAGAAGAGGACGACAGAGTCCACGACCAGGTAAGACGTGCCCTATCCGGACGTTCAGTTCTCATCAAACCTGGAGTTACATTGGTTATCTGTATGTTCATGGTTTGGGAACGTTTTTCTAGTAAAGGATGGAAAAGATTCTCATAATTCCAAAATGGAGAAAAAATATAGAGAGTACATACAAAATGTCTGTTTAGATATACAACGTCTATTTTCATATTGTAAACTAATACTTGTCCACTGTAGAATATGAAAAATACAGCTCATACAAAGAAGAAAATCAGTATTTCTTAGAATTTCCCAACCAGAGGTGTCAGATGACCACATCAGGTGGTCACCCTGTGCCCAGGTTACATGCATGATGCTGTCCTGTGGGTGCCCATCTGTGAGGTTCACTGAACACGGGACATGCGCAGACTAGCTCATGAGGTGGCACGGTCTGATACGGTGGCCACTGCCCACGCGTGGCTATTTACAGTTACGTTTAAATCAATTAAAGGTAAATAAATGAGAAATTCAGCTCCTCGGCTACACGGGCCACGTTTTGCGTGTCAGTGGTAAGGTGTGGCTCGTGGCTGACACCTCGGGTGGCGTAGATGAAGAACGGCTCTGTCATTGCAGCAGGCTCTCATGAATGATGCCACTCAAGCAGGTGACTGAGAAGGGCTTAGTCAGAGGTGACACCCCCTCACCGGGTCTTAATTCTCCCCACTGAGTTTGTTGGTTTGTTAGTGTTTCCTACTTAAGAACCTGTGGTCATGAATACAAGTCTTGAGGATGCAGAAAATCAGATCATGAGCAATGAGATGACCTTACGTGGTTCTGTGAACTCTAGTTTTTGGAGTGGAAGATACGAATCTTTGGTTAGAAATTCTCCTGTCGGATTGCCTTGTGGCTCGTGGTTCAGTGACAGTTGGCAGGGACTGTGAGCAAACAGCAGGGACTGTTGTGAGTGTCCGTCAGAGCTGGCGGGACACTGTCTCTGAGTTGTGGGGGGCAGTGGGGTGAGAAGACACGTTCCCAGGCGTAGGAGGCAGCGGGCAGGGACAACAGCGGTGGCGAGGGTGGCCGTAGTCTCTTCCTGACTCCACCACAGGCTGAGGACGATGGGGACTCTCAGGCCACCCCTGTCCATCCCCGTGCTTTGACTTTGGATTCATTTCTCCTTTGCTGGGGGTGCACTTTCAAGCACTTTATTTCAAAGAGGGTATTTGAGAGTCGTCTTTTCTATGTTTTTCTGTGTTTATTCTTTTTCCTCCTCACATGAAACACAATTTAAGTGAGGATATTATTCCTTTTCCTTCAAAATCCTGAGGACACTGTTCTGTCCCTACTCAGTAACTTAAATGCTATGTACTGTCGTTCAGGATCCAAATTTGAAAACATGTTTTTATCAAAATAATATTTGCTTTAAATATTGAAAACACAAAAGGAAAAGTTATGAATAATTTCTGGTCAGAAAGGAAACAGTCACTTTCCCTTGTAGTCCTTCCTAATTTCCTAAATAAACCCATTTTGATAGAGTGGGAAAGTAAATCCAATTTTCCTGTTTTCTGTCTAATGTAATACTAGAGATTTAATTTTATAGTTAAGAAATGCACCCACTGAACAGGCATATGACTTTTACCCTCGTTGTGTGCCCAGAGCAGGTGCAGCTGGTGTCCTCCTCGTGCGGCAGTGTTGGCACCTGCTTTGTGGTGAAGGCCACATCTTAGACATCAGTTAGACCCGAGGTCAAATTCTGGATCTCCAGCCACTACCTCTGTGATCCTGTGCAAACTACTTAATATCTAACCTCTATAAGCCCCAGAGTCTATAAAGAATAGATAAAACTAGCGCTTTACTCGCAGGATTGGGGTAATAATTAAATGAGATAATTTGCACAAAGCAAATTAGTGTCCTGTTGAAAATCAGCACTGAGTTTATAATGATAATATTCATCAGTCCAGATGCCAGTTAAGTGGTTCTGAGGAGACGGGGTACTCGCTGCCCATGTGAGAACCACAGAGCCCCGAGACGTTGTGGGAATGTAACTACATGTCTCTGTGACGTGCTCACTTGTGGGTTAGCCTCTTTGTGCCTCAGTTTACCTATCTGTAAAATGAGGGTTATGATCATTCTCAACTTGTAGGGTTATCATGAGGACTCTAGATTTAAGCATATAAAGCATCTAGTGCGTTGTAGGAGCTGAGTAAATGCCAATTACCATTATTATTATTATCAGGTATTCACTGCTTCTGGAGAGGTGAGGTGGGGTCTTGGAATCACACAGGTTCTTTTTGTAAAATAAAGGAGCCAGAGACCTACACTGACTCTACAAAACCAGGTTCTTCAGGAAGGGGTGCGTGCGTGCGTGCACGTGTGCATGAGAGAGAATGCTGAACGCTCTCTAAGTGATTCTCATATGCAATTCCCTTGTCCTCCATCGGGGTGAAAATTTCTCATCGAGATGAAATTCTAAATATAGGCTGTAAAACTTTTGTCTTCATCAAGTGCTTGTGTTTCTAGTTGCCTGTTGTTACCCCGTGTGGATGACTTCATGGCAGATATTCCTTCGATCGTATGGGCCAACAGTCCTTTCTCGTCGATGTCATCTCACGGGGGTCTCCTTTCTGCCAGGTCAGTCGTTTGAGCATCAGACTTGGGGACCTCTTGCGCGATCATGGGTCTCAACTCCCGCCTGGAGCTCCCCCTCTTGCAAAATCCTTCAAAACGGAGATCAAGAAAGCAGAGGACCCCGAGGCTTCCTTGCCTTCAGAAGAGGAGGGCGCCGGGGTGGAAAATGTGAAGAGTCGCTCCTACTCCACAGACTCGTTGGAGAGGAAGCTGGATTCGGAGCCCAGAGTCGGTGGGCTTGGGGAGTTCCAAAACTGGATTCAAGGGGCTCTAAGGGAAGAGCAGAGCCGGCAGGCAGGAGCTGGGGAGCCCGCTGGCCAAGGCCTGCAGTTGGAAGTCAAGTCTCCTGAGGAAGAGGAGTTCGGCTACATCGTGACGGAGCTCGAGTGAGTACTGAGTGCTGGGTCTCTCTCCGGGTACACCGAGATCCTGGCGGGCCGGGGGGTGCCTTGTGAATTGGGTAGAGCTCTTACGTTTAAACGTATTTAACTGAAACTGAGTGGAGGCGTCCCCAGTGTTAGACGTGGACGGCAGCCAGGAGGCCCGCAGGTAACCCCACCTGGTGCTCTGAGATCGGCCCCTGAGCTCGAGGGCAGCTCTCTGAAGTGTGTTAAACCAAAGCAAACCAGACAGAGCCCTTCCTGGGGTCTGTGCTCCTGTCCTCTTGCCTGGCTCTTGGGACAGGGGTGTGAGTAATGAGGCCTGGGGCTAGCTGGCTCTCCCAGGGACTCCCTGTGTGTAGGGATGAGGGACCGCGCAGCAGGATGGGGCTTGGGGCCCCAGTAACTGCACCCCATACTGATGGCGTGTGTGCTAAAACTGCACAAGCTTTGTCTGACATCAGTGTGGTCCAGATATCAGATGAGCCACCCTTCAGAGGGAAAACATGCTTCACAGCAACGCAATGTTCTCTCCCCTGTCTCATGTTGATCTGCTTGTAACAAAGATAGGAATTCAAACGTCGTGTACCCAGTGGGCTAAAAGTGGTTGGCCCCATTTCTCAGGTCAGCTCATGAATGAATCTGACATTTGACGCTGGGCTTTGCAAGAATTTGGTGTTATTTTCAGGTATTAGAAGCCATGTTTCAAAGAGAAGAGCATGTCTGGCTGGCTACGCAAATACATGAGTGTGTGTGTACATGTGTGTGTATACATAATTTTGCCTTCCAATTATAGTGCACATTGTTCAGATATTTCTGCCTCAGTTAAGAAGACCACCATATTCCTATGACTGTCTGCAGAGGAGGCAGAGGAGGAAGGAGCTGCGTTAAAGCCAGAACCCTCCTCTCCTGGTGACTCTGCAGAGGCTTCTTTCTGCACGCACACCTCCCACAAGGCTCAGTCCCCCAGCATATGCTAGCTGTTGCGGCGCTGGAGATACCAAATTTCATCAGCGAGAAATAGCTGCACACCACAATTGGGCAGACAGAAATGGTTTATTTTGAGCTCACACTACAGACTGTGTATCAAAGCCAAGTTAGAACTTAAGACTGTTTTCAGCTGTTGATGTTGGGCTTATGTTTTTAGATAAGTCATAAGCAGCTGCAGTTTCGAGTTTACACCAAAACATTGACTCAACCTTCTCTGGAGGACTTTTTTTATTAAGACTGGTCTTCCTGTTTGTACTCTCTTTGCTTATGTGATATGCTCCGTGCGTTTGTCCTTGTACTCTTTTTCTTAAAATTAGGCTCTCCTAGTGCGTGCTTATGCCTTTACTGTCATGCCCTACAGAAAGGCTCTGCTGAGGGTACATTTTTGCACGGTTAAGGCAAGGACGAGATGCCCGCTTGATGGCTCCGTGATGCGAACCGTTGTAGCACCATCCCACTTGTTACAGATTTTCAAATCCCTGTGTTGTGGTTTCCTCCTTAGGAAACGTGGCTCTGTGTGTTGTGTGTGCTGTGCTGTGTGTGTTTATGTGATGCGTGTTGTGTGTGGACATGTTGCGCGGTGTGTGTGTGCGTGCTTACCCGTGGACCCTCTGCTTCACGCTATTTGGGGAGCCTTCTTTCCCACGCGAGGCCTTCAGTTTGGTCGTGTTCGCTGAGGCCAAGTGTCTCATTCCCTGCATGAGCATTAAGCTCCACCCTTGCAGGGCGACGGCTGACCGCCCCCTCCTCTAGGGTACTGGGGCTCACTTGTGCTGCAAAGGAGAGATGACCACCTCCGTGAAGGTTTTCTGTTCATTTTAAAAACTCTTTCAAATGGCAACCTAGTTGTCAGCCTGGAGAACAGCAGCTAACCTGTGCAGTTTGTCCTGGAACTCCAGAGCCAGGTGGTCCACACCGGCCCGTTCCCCACATGGAGGCGGGTCCTCGGGTGAAAGGATGGTGGGTGTGGGCTTGTTCCCGCTGGAGCCTCAGCCCTTTCTGATGAAGAGAGAGAGACCTATCAAATCAAGTCCTCTCTGCTCTCGGTGACTTTCCAGTAGAAAACGAAGCCATTATTATGGTGGGGTTTTTCTTTGTGTTTAGAATTTATTTTCTGCAGAGCGTCCCCTGGCTGCTCCTTTGAGACATTTACCTGCTACAAGCAGTGGGCAAAAAGGAAAATGATTGTGTTACCCTGGCTGATTTCCCTTTTTCTTTTGTCACTTCAATTGGACAAAAGAAGTCTGGGGAAGATAATGCAGCTTTCTGTCAACAGTTCCCACTGTTTGCTGCAAGGCAGAATGTATCAGAAGATTATGCCGCCCTGTCTTCTGCAGAGAGATGGCGGTTTTTGCCCCATTATCAGATTCATGAATAATTTGGGATTCTCTGGGGCAAGATTTCACCAGATCTCAGCTTAAACCTTAATATATCAGCTATTAATTTACAAGACTCAGATGCCATTCTTGAAGGGAGAAAAGGCCTTTTGTGTATTTGCTTGTTCCATGGAAAGCAGGAGGGACGTGACTCTTAACTCTGCGTTATCTCATCCTTGACACGGGCTCTTCGCTGACGTTTGGATGGGAGAATAATATGGCTTTCTCTGCCAGGCGCCACTTCCTTTTACATTTTCTGATGGACAGGGTAATCCTTCGCCATTTACATTTCCATCCTTTTTACTAGCTAGACGGATTACTTAAGACCGAATGAAGGGCGGGACAGCCGTCCGCAGTCCTCCAAGGACGACTTTAAATTGTGGCCTGTTAGGTTGCTAGGACGAAATCACAGGATGGAAGCTGAGCCTCAGCAAAGGCAGCTATTTACCTCTCAGTGAGGAAGAGACTGCTTTTCAAATCTAATAAACAAATGCTTCAGAGATACATGGCTTCTGCGGATACGCCTCCCTTTACTTAACTAAAACAGTCCTCTTGTTTGGGATATATTCCTACAGAAGGGTCATTCTGAGTCAATGAGACCGACTTTGGGGAAGTAAAACCCATGGCTGTAAAAATGTGGGGGCTTGGAAGTAGGGGTAGGGTGAGTCACACACTTGATGTGGGAGACAAGAAAGGTCACCGACAGGACCCTACACTGCCCCTCGAGACGGAGCTGACCCAGCAGGCTGTGCACTAGCTGGTGGGCAAGGAGGCAGGAGGTGTGGATTATGTGGGAGCCCCCGTCCAGCAGTGGAAGTGCCTGGGACCCCTGCTGTCATGGAAAAGCCGTGGTCTGCATATGACCTTCACAGCCTCCCGATGGCACCGTGGAGGGGTGAAGGTGATGCGGGAGGCCTGGCTGCCGGGGCAGGCCACACATCTCCCCTGTGCTTGGGTCTCCTCATCTTTAAATTGGCAATAATAGTGCCCACCTTGCAGGTGTCACGAAGGGTGAAGTGAGGCACATGGAACAGACCCGAACGCGGTGAGTAAGTGACACTAGGCCGTTCGCAGTCGCTGAAGGGAACACAGCCTCACCTGCAAGAGAGGAGGGGGACGCAAGCTTCCCAAGGCAGGTTGCAGCAGCGTGGAGCACAGAGGCCCAGGGTGGCCATGGCTGGGAGAAGAGAACGCCAAGGTGACGATGGTCTGCACTCACCGTGCTGCCGTTGATGTTCTGGAAAGAGACAGGTTACATGGTAATTTGTCCTCCTTCAGTGCTTCCCTGTGGTAAAACTTTCTTTCACCTTGGAGAAGCCGATCAGTGAGATGACCAATGACACTTTACCCTCCGAGCTTCCACGCGTCTATGGAGTGCATGACCAGCCCCACAAGCAGGCGTGGGTGTGGCGCGCTGGTGGCAGCTGTGCAGGAATCCAGACACAAGGTGCCACGCGGGGAGATGCTGCCTCGTGCCAGGAGTGGGGCTGCTCCTCACCCACCGACCAAGTGTGAGGGTGTTGGGAACCAAGAATCTCGAAGAAAGTTCAGAAGGTGCTGTCTTGAGAAGCCTGAAGCTGCACACGGAGGAAGCATGTCGTGGTCCTCGGTCCCACCCCCAGTGCCGCGTTTCCTCCTCCTCACCCCCCACACCCAGCTCTTTGCCTCCCGGGGTGCTCTCCAGCCTGTCTCCTTCTCTTGCCCGCTGCCCTCCCGTCCCAGTTCGGGTGGTTGGCTGCCGGGCCCTCTGCCTGGTCCACCTGCACCTGCCCTTGCTCTTCAGTTCGTGACGAACATTGAACCCAAAGAGACCACCACGGCCTGAATCTGACTCTGTCGCCCTCTCATCTTACAATCTCCTGAGATAGAGCCCCAGGTCTCTAGTGCCCCCTGAGGCCCTGCAGGCTCACCTACCCCCATGCCCCCTCCTCAGGGGCTCAGCCCTCTCTGGACTGTGCTCCCAGGCACCCCTGTAGCTCCTCCCCATGGCCCAGAGGTCACGCGGAGGTCCTCTCCTCCAGGAGGCCCCCCCCCGGTTCCCAGCCTCCTCAGAACCGCCTGAGTGTGCGCACAGTTGCCTGAGGCTCGTGCTCCTCTGTGGAGTCAGGGACGTGTTGGTTTTGCTTCCTGTCACCTCCCAGCTCCTGACGAGCCTCCTTTGTCGCAAGGCTCCCAGTGGCTCCTTGGCTTGCTTCTTGCTCACACTGTTGAACGATGTCCTGTCTGCTTTCTGTACCTCACGCTCCTGCCTCCCTGCTCTATCCCACAGGCCCCCGTCAGGTGGTTCCTTCCTACACCAGGAACGGCCAGTGTCCGCTGCCCACGTCCTGGACCCCCACCCAAGACAAGGCCCTCTACGTGCGGCCGTGCCCACCCCCATCCCCACCCCTCCACCCCACGGCCCACACCTGCAGTCACGCTCATCTGACCCTCATGGCACCCAAAGTCCCTTCTCCCCTGGAAGATGTCTCAGTCGTCAGTAATCAGCTAGAATGGGACTCCTCTCTGAAGGCTTCTGTCTAGTCACCTGGAAACCCTTCCCCGTTGCCCACAAACCATCCACGCTGCAGTGAGTTAGAATTCACTTGGTCACATGCCTCCTCCTCCACCTGATCCCTGAGCTCCTGCGGCAGTGGCCCC